AAAAAAAAAAAAAAAAAAAAAAAAGAAAAAACTAGAAGGGAAAGGTGTTTTTCCCACATCAGTCCTGCTTCGGAGATAACTTTATTTGTGACATGTGCCCCTTCCCCCAAAAGTGTTTTGTCTGCTAACAAGACAGCTTAAAAACAAAAATAAAACAAAATTTGATAAAAAATTAGTATTTCAAACTGTAAAGTCACTGGAAGTGCTCAGTTATCCAAAATGCACACACTTCCCTCGGCATCTCCAGCAGGTGTCTGGTCTGTTCCAGTATCTCCACCGTCTGTAGGGTCAGTCCCCTCCTTGTCAGCATCAGCTTTTCCTTTTTTCCTTTGGGTACCTTCTCTCCCTTCTTTGCAGTGGCCTTTTTAGGCTTGGGCTCTGGCTTTGGAGGAGCAGATTTAGCAGACAGCCTCGCGGATCTTCTCCTTCACCTTGTCCTCGTCTCCCATAGCATCCCCTTCAGCGTTTCTCTTGGGGATGGTGGCAGCGATGGTGGCCGGATGTAGGCATTGGGAGCGGGATGCTATGGCAGTGCGCAGGCTGCTCTCAGCCCAGGGGTTGTTCTTGCCCCCTCTTTTTTATACTTCTCCAAGATTTATTCCTTTGCATGAGATGAAATGTTGCTTTAGGTTAAACTTTACCCCCTCCAAAGTTATCTAACTCTTGCATCATGAGTGCTTTTCTGTTTTTTTTTTTTTCTTCCAGACAAGGTCTCTGTCGCCCAGGCTGGAGTGCAGTGGTGCAGTTTCAACTCACACTGCAGCCTGGACCTTCTCTGGTTCAGTTGATCCTCCCACCTCAGTCTCCTGAGTAGCTGGGACTACAGGCACGTGCCATAGCACCCGGCTAATTCTTGTGTTTTTGTAGAGACAGGATTTTGTCTGTTGCCTAGGCTGTCCTTAAACTCTGTGCTCAAATTACCTGCTTACTGTGGCCCCCGCCAGAAGTGCTAGGATTAGAGGCCTGTGCCACTGTGCCTGGCATCAAGAGCTTTTCTTTTTCTTTTTTTTTTTTTTCTCTCCTTTTTACACATAGGAACTGTTCTTAAAATGTTAGAACATTTTTATTTTTCAGAAACAAGAGTCGAAATAAAAGAATCTGTTCGTGGCCAAGATATTTTCATTATACAGACAATACCCAGGTAAGAGGACTGACTATTTTATCTCTTTTCTTGTAAAAACCTTAATGATATAATTCATTGAGTTTTCATATGAACAACAATTTACTGTTTTTAAAAGTTATACATTCGTTTGCAATATTAAACTAAATGCTTCCCCAAATACAATTACCGTCTTCTGGAATTCCTCCCATTTGTCACACTGTACTGTTATCTGCTTCTCCCCAAGCTTTTTTTTTTTTTTTGAGACGGAGTTTCGCTCTTGTTGCGTAGGCTGAAGTGCAAGTGCAATGGCATGATGGTCTTGGCTCACCACAACCTCCACCTCCCAGGTTCAAGTGATTCTCTTGCCTCAGCCTCCCGAGTAGCTGGGACCACAGATGTGTGCTACCATGCCCAGCTCTGTATTTTTAGTAGAGACAGGGTTTCTCCATGTTGGTCAGGCTGGTTTGAACTCCCGACCTCAGGTGATCCACCTGCCTCCGCCTCCCAAAGTGCTGGGATTACAGGTGTGAGCCACCGCGCCTGGCTCTTATTTTTGTTGTTGCTCCGGCTGCAGTGCAGTGGCACGATCTTGGCTCACTGCAACCTCCACCTCCTGTGGGACTATATCCTTTCTCATCAGCTCACAGGGAGTGGGCGGTTATACCATCTGTGTCTCTGAAAAATCCAGACCTTCATGTCCTGATCAGTTTACATTCCACCTCCTGGGTTCAAGGGATTCTCCCACCTTAGCCTCCTGAGTAGATGGGATTACAGGTGCCCACCACCACACCTGGCTAATTTTTGCATTTTTAGTGGAGACATGGTTTCACCATGTTGGTCAGGCAGGTCTTGAACTCCTGACCTCAAGTGATCTGCCCATCTCAGCCTCACAAAGTGCTGGGATTACAGGCATGAGCCACCACTCCCCAAGCTTTAAACTCCTCAAGGACAAAGGATATTCCCATGGTTTGCACTGGCCCTAGGCCAGTGTCTATCAGCTCAGCTCTGGAGAAAAGTTTCTAATTATTGAGTGTGATGCATAACTGCTCCTGGTTCATACCCACCAAGACAGGTTTTTGCACTGTATTTTATCTTGCACTGTGGCCTGTTTCTAGCCTATCTCTATTTCAGAGAGCATTACCCTTTCTTCCCTGAGGGCAGGAGGAATGCCTGCTTGAGTGGGATGCTTCCATGTGGGACTGTATCGTTTCTCATTGGCTCGCAGGGAATGGGCAATTATACCATCTGTGTCTCTGAAAAATCCAGACCTTCATGTCCTGATCAGTTTACATTCCCCAGACCATATTAGTAATAAGAATGGCACTCAGTGCCACCAGTGTGCCACATGCTTTGTATGTTTCATTTTTGTTTGTTTGTTTTTTGAGACAGAGTCTCACTCTGTTGCCCAAGCTGAAGTGCAGTGGTGTGATCTCGGCTTACTGCAACCTTCACCTCCTAGGTTCAAGTGATTCTACCTCTGCCTCCTGAGTATCTGGGATTACAGGCACCTGCCACCATGCCTGGGTAGATATTTTTGTATTTTTAATAAAGATGGGGTTTCACTATGTTGGCCAGGCTGGTCTCGAACTCCTGGCCTCAAGTGATCTGCCCACCTGGGCCTCCCAAAGTGCTGAGATTATAGGCATGAGCCACTGCACCCAGCCCTATTCAGTCTTCTTTAGTTTGGAGCAGTTCCTCAGTCTTTCCTTGACTTTTTTTTTTTGAGATAGGGTATTGCTCTGTCACTTATGCAAGCATGCCCCATGGCACAGTCACGGCTCACTGCAGCCTTAACCTCCAGAACTCAAGCGATCCTCCCACCTCAGCCTCCCTAGTAGCTGGGACCACAGGCGTGTGCCATGACCTCAGGCTATTTTTTTTGTATTTTTAGTAGAGAACGAGGTTTTATCATGTTGCCTAGCTGGTTTTGAACTCCTGGATTCAAGCGACCTTCTTGCCTCAGCCTCCCAAAGTGCTGGGATTACAGACATGAGCCACTGCACCCAGCCTTGACTTTCAAAACTTTAACACATTTGAAGACTGACATTTTACCAGTTACTTTGAATGTCTCTCAATTTGGGTTTCACCATGATGAGCTCTTTCACTGTGATGAGATTCAGGTGCCCCCGGAAGGAAGCTGTGTTCGCATCGTCTTGTCTTCCTGCTGCTTCATGGTGTAATGTGGATGCACCGGTTTACTCAGTCTCTCCTGGGTCAGTTTGTTTCTAGTCTTGTGCTGACACGTTAGAGCTGCTGTGAGCCTCCTTGTATGTATGTCATATTGTCTGCGTTTCAGATGTATCTGTAGGAAGATCCTAAGAAATTTCTGGTTGTGAGGGTCCACGCCCTGTGGTATTGAGGGAAATGGCTGCATTGCCCTCATTGAGGATACACTAATTCACATTTTCTCCAGCAGTTTTGGTTTTGTGTTGTTTGCCTCCTGGTGACTGGAGTCTTTTTTGCCCAGTGGTTTTGTCTGACTCTGCGTCTTATAAATAAGGGGAAGACCTGAAGGGCTTGCCTAGAGGTACAGTGCTCATAGGAAGGGAGCTTTGGCACACCTTGACACACCACATAGCTGTTCCCTGGCCGTCTGTGCTTGTCCTGGTTTTTGTTGGTTGTGAACAGTAAGGCTACCTTGTTACCGCTATTTTTTCTGCATTCTTGAGTTCCTTAGGGCATAGGAAAGAGCCACATGTGACCCTTGGTCCTTGGTTTGGGTGGCTTAGACTACTGAGAGCTCTCTACTAGTTGATGGAAGAGTGCACAGTAATGCAATCATGGCCTTTGTAGCCACGGGTTGGCCAGCTTCGTCACTAATCCTCCAAGAAATATTGGGGTCTAATTCTAAAAGCAGTACTGATCGGTGAAGTCTCTTTACTACCTTAATTGAATTTGTGATAACGAAAGGATTTGTCACATAAAGAGTTATTTTTAAAATTTATTTATTTATTTATGTATTTATTTTGAGCTGGAGTTTTGTTCTCGTTGCCCAGGCTGGAGTGCAATGGTGTGATCTAGGCTCACTGCAATCTCCGCCTCCCGGGTTCAAGCGATTCTCCTGCTTCAGCCTTCTCAAGTAGCTGGGATTACAGATGTGTGCCACCAAGCCCGGCTAATTTTGTATTTTTAGTAGAGATGGGGTTTCTCCATGTTGGTCAGGCTGATCTTGAACTCCTGACCTCAAGTGATCGGCCTACATTGGGCGGGACACAGTGTCTCACACCTGTAATCCCAGCACTTTGGGAGGCCAAGGCAGGTGGATCACCTGAGGTTAGGAGTTTCAGACCTACCTAGCCAACATGGTGAAACCTCATCTCTACTAAAAGTACAAAAATTAACCAGGTGCGGTGGCGTATGCATGTAGTCCCAGCTACTCGGGAGGCTGAGGCAGAATAATCGCTTGAACCTGAGAGGCGGAAGTTGTAGTAAGCTGAGACTGCGCCATTGTACTCTAGCCTGGGTGACAAGAGCAAAACTGTCTCAAAATAAATAAATAAATAATAAAATAAAATAATAAAAATTTTTAAAGAGAGACAGGGTCTTATTATATTGCCTAGGCTGGTCTGGAACTCCTAACCTCTGGTGATCTGCCTACCTTGGCCTCCCAAAGTGCTGGGATTACAGGCATGAGCCACTGCACCCCGCCGACTTCTACTTTTTGGCATGTATGTTTGTGTATGTGTGGTAGAAGGGCAGCTATCACCATACTTTCCATTGGTTATAACATAGCTCCTTGCATATTCCCTTTAGAACATAAGCTCCCTGAGGGTAGAGAGTTTTCTTTGCTCACTACAGTGTCTCCAGCAGCCAAAACAGTGCGTGCCCTGTAGTAGGCACTAGAATTTTTGCTTAATGAACAAATAGGCTTTTACCTTCTATGTTGTTAGTAAATACTTGTATTTCAAATATTTGTGGAGCGAATTAGTGAATACATATACACATACATACATTTTTAAGCATTTCAGCCTTTTTTATATCTTCACAATATAATTGTGATTCCCCTCTGCTGTTTTTAGATCTCAGCTGGCCGGTCCCTATTTGAAGTTACTTCTTTCCCTGCTAGATCTCACCTGAAATTGAAACGACCTTTGTGGTTTCTATAGTTTCTGTCTGTACTTCAGAATTCCTGGTTTTATTCAGACTTCCCTTAACGTACTTTTTTTTTTTTTTTTTTTTGTGAAGTGAAGTCTTGCTCTGTTGCCCAGGCTGGAGTGCAATGGCACAATCTCTGTTCACAGCAGATTCATCTGTCTCAGCCTCCCGAGTAGCTGGGATTACAGGCGTGTGCCACCACGCCCAGCTAATTTTTTGTATTTTCAGTAGAGATGGGGTTTCACCATGTTGGCCAGGCTGGTCTCGAACTCCTGACCTCCAGTGATCCACCTGCCTCAGCCTCCCAAAGTGCTGGGATTACTGGTGTGAGCCACCACACCTGGCCCCTTAACGTATCTCAGTATAAATTCACAGTCTACTGTCATGGCAAAATGACATTCACTATTAACAGTATTGTTCTCTTGTGAATTCTCCTCGTTGTTCATGGTTCTCTCAAACTAGTCAAGCATAGAAACAACATATCGTTAGTGTCCTTTGCGGTAAGAAGTTGCATTTCCTAAAATTCTTGGCTTTGATATCACATGGTAACCAAGAGTGCTCAATGTAAGTATTTAATATATGCAATCTAGATGCTGGGGCAGACTGAATTTTACAAATGAAGGATCATCAGTTTGCAAGTGTTTCCCAGGGAAGGGACAAAAGAAGCATGAAAAAATGAGTTAATAGTAAATTGGGAAACACAGTTTTTCTCACTTGTACCTTGAGTATTAGAAAATTTGACCACGGTCAGGTGTGGTGGCTCATGCCTGTAATCCTAGCACTTTGGGAGTTCAAGGTGAGAGGACCTCTTGAGGCCAGGAGCTTGAGACTAGCCTAGGCAATATAGTAAGACCCTGTCTCTATTTTCATTTTTATTTTCTTGTTTTGAGATAAGGTCTTGCTCTGTCACACAGGCTGGAGTGCAGTGGCACAATCTCAGCTCA